ATCAAATTGGCTAAAATGGAAAAGTCTAGCACCAGCAAGTTTTAGAGAAGATGTGGAGAAATTGGAACTCATACATTGCTGCAGAGAGTGAAAACTCATAAAACCATCTAGAAGAACAATTTGACAATATCTAGCAAAAATGAAGATATACATACCCCCTGGTCTAGCAACTGAACTCTTAGATATACATGCAAAATAAATTTGCATATATATGTACATGTGTACAAGAAGATACGTATAAAAGAAGACACGACTATTCCTTGAAGCATTATTCATGACAGTAGAAAATTGGAAATGATCTAAATGTCCATCATCAGGAGACTGGATAAATAATTATAGTATATTTATCAAATGTGTGACAGATGTTAAAATTGAACTATTTTAGTCTCATTCCAAAGTGAGATGTAGAATCACCGTGCAGGACTTGCAAAAGAGATTTTTGAAAACCAGCCTGCAATTCTTTACTTAACACCACATTGAGGGTAACTAAAGGCTTGGGATTTGGAGAGGGAAAGAGGAGAGGTACGGAGATTGTGTTGGAATCAGCCTTTGCTCTCAGAGTTGGTCAGGGCAAAGGAAGCACGTGTGAGCCACATGCATGAGAGAGAGTTGCTGTGGGATCGTTGTTGATCCTGTCCAAGAGGGACCCCTGGAAAAGCAAAAGAACTCAGCTTCCAGATGCCTTGGGGCTGAAGGAGGCAGGTGTCATTAGAGACCAGCTGGAAAAGATGTTTTCTCTCACTTCAGAGAAATGCCAGTGAGGGATCTCCATTATGGGCAGGTGAGTCTCCAAAGAACTCACAAAAGCACCTCAGGACACAGAGAGTCAGATTCAAATGCTGCCGAGACTGTGCTTTGTAACGTAAAGAGACCAGAAGACTTTTCATCACCTAATAGTGATCAGAAAAGTTATGGAGCCTACCCTAAATTTGATCTAGGAGCAAGGGAAGAACTAACTCTACAGAGCAAATTTAAGGGGTCAGTGGAAAACAAAACAAAGCTGCTTTAAAACCACCTCCCAAATGTCGTGCTTGTTCAAAGTATGGGTTACATTTGGAATGCTACACAGCAAGTAAAATGGCTAAACTAGATGAACATACAGCAACATGGATAAATCTCAAAACTAGAATGTTGAATGAAAAAAGCAGTTGCAGGGGCCAGCCCTGTGGCCTGGTGTTCGAGTTTGGTATGCTCTGCTTTGATGACCTGGGTTCACAGGTTCGGATCCCAGGCACGGACCTACACCACTCGTCAGCCATGCTGTGGCGGCAACCTGCATACAAAATAGAGGAAGATTGGCATGGATGTTAGCTCAGGGCTAATCTTCCTCAGCAAAAAAAAAAAAAAAAAAGGAAGTTGCAGAAGGATATAGTATGAGACCATTTACATAAAGTTTGAATATATGTAAAATAATATCATATATTATTTTGGTATACTTACGTAGTGAGATTGTAAAAATATATATGGGTATATTAAATGCTAAATTCACTCTGGTGGTTACCCCTGGAAAAAGAGCAGGAAGATTGGGGGAAGAAAGGAATGCAAGAGGGCTTCACATATTGTAATAATTCCTTTCTTTGCTTGAGTAGTGGATACCTGGAGGTTCATTATTTTATTTTCTATTCTCTTTTGCATGCGGCAATATTTTGTAATTTTCAAAAGTTGGAGAGAAAGGGCCTTTGGAGCAGACTGTTAAATTGGGGTAGGTGGCCCTGGTAAGAGCAATGTTGGTGGGTGAAGGGATCAAAGGCTGAATGCAGTGGTGAGAAGTGAAGGGGAGGTACCATTTGAGCTGAGTCTTAAAGACTTGCCAAGCCTCAACCTTTAGTTCTAGCCTTTGGGCAAGCTAACCAGACCACTTTGCCCTAGACATAGCTCACCTGCTCCCCAAACTAAACCTTTACTTACATTACTCCTGCTCCCAAGCAAGAGCAGCTATAGCTGCCATTTTGTGATAGCCTGCTGCAATGTCGGCCACTCTGTATAGAACACCTACTATGTGCCAGGAACCTTACAGATACTATTCTATCTAATCCTGATGACAGACTTATGAGGTAGATATTGTTATTCTCATTTCACACATAAGAAAACTGAGCATAAGTGTCATGTTCAAGGTCACTCAGGAAATGGTAGAGCCGAAATTTAAGTCATGTTCATCTGAACCTAAAACATATCTCTCCATTACAGCAACCTGTCCTACCTTTCCCACACTGGCCCCACCAGCTCCAGTTCCCTGACCCAGCTCAGATGTCAACTTCTTCATTTTTGATTCATAGTTACTCACTCATTCAAACATTTATTGAGGGTGTAACAGAAGATATTGATGCCTGACCCATATGCCATTGGCCCAGCCCAGAGGCACCTGAAGCTTCTGAAGACTGTGGATGGCTTATGTTTCAAACACCCGCATCTCTCAGCCTGAAGGCTTTATCAGGCTGCAGGAGGACTCGGGCCCGTGTATGGGGCAGGCTGAGGTGCTAGGGAATTAGTACCCTCAGGAGCAATTCTCAACCGATATGGGGGGCAGTTGGTGGAAAATACCTCAACTTCCTCATCTTTTTGCAGGACAATTCTGAGATACATTCTACACATTCCCTCAGAGGGTACCCAGCAGGATGAGCCCCAGTTGCCAATAGCTATAACCTTCTCATTGACGTACCTTTAATTGGCTTTTTCCCCTTTTCTGCCTCACTTTCTGACTCCCTCGCCATACTTCTACGGATCACCCCCATAAACTACTTGCGCTTGTCTCAGAGTCTACTTAGGGAAATCCAATCTAAGACAGAGGGTCTTCCTTGTGCAGTGTCAGCAAAGCCTTCCTTCAAACCCCAGGCTCAATTCGTGCTCCCTCCTCTCCACTCCCTTTGCTGCGGCTCCCTCTAGCTTTGTCAGACTATCCTGGAGCCTTTCTAATTGCAAGTCTGATTGGCCCACTTTGAACAGCTCAGAGTTGATGCCCTGTTCTTTTTTGTCCTCCTTGCTCCCAACACACCAGAACTGCTCAGTGAATGTTTGCTGAATGGGCTGAATTGTTGAAAGTCCTTCTTACATTTTAACTAATTAATCCTCACCACCTCCCAGGAAACCTTGTATTACCCTTAGGTTGAGAACTATTTACGGGTGCTAAAATCAAGACACCAAAAGTTGTAACAAAGAATAAATTCTTCCTCAGTTAGAACCAGAAATCAGCTGGAAAAACAAATCTAAAATTTTTTAGATTTAGATACTAATTCTGACAATTTTCCTTAAAAAAAAAAAACACTGTTTATGTTGGATGCTTTGATTTAGATTGTGTAGATGAACTGAGGTAATTGTTTATTAATTTCTGCTTATTAATAAAATGCAAATGTATTGCTTGAAATGAACACAAGCAGGCTAGTCCAGGGTCAGAGATATCCAAAGGAAACATGTCGTATTGTTTTCAGTGAGGTGCCCTTATGAGACAGCATAGAATGGTAGAGAAGAATATGGATTTTAAAGCCTGCCTCTGTTTCCACCTTGGCTCCACCTCCTACACCCATGTGATCTGGAACAACTTACCCAAATTTCTGTTTCTTAGTTGCCTTAATTACAAATTGAAGATAATAATAGTACCTATCTCATAAGGTTGCTGTTAATGTTGATGGGGATGATAATGTGGCTGTTATTTTGGGCTCATCCCTGCAGGCTCATCACTGCCATCTTCTTCCTCCTGCTCTATCAGAGAGCACCCTATTCCATGCCTATCATTCCTGCACTTTCCTCCTCCTTCCTCTAACCAGCCACTTCCTCAACCTCATCGCTCTTCTCTCACTACCTGGGCCCAGCCCAATATCTCTCTCCATCATGCCCTTGTGTCCTGGTCCACTCACCTCTCACACCTCCCTCTCCCCACCTCATCTCTCTCCTCCAGTTGAGGATACAGGTATAGGAGAGGTATATTTGCAGGTTTCAGAATGAAAGTTCAAGAGGATACGATGGAATGACTGAAGAGCAAGGCAAGGAAGGAGGGCTGGGACAGTTGAGGGGATATATAGAACAGGTAGGAAGGAGAGTCAGAAAGGCAGGGTGATCCCAGTGGATAGGATTCATCCTGAGAGTCCCTTGGAGGAAGAAGCATTAACTCTGACCTCTTTTCTCATTCTGCCGTAGGACCTGAGGGGATTCTCTCATTCCAAGTGTCTGGAAGAAGTAATTAAAGCAGAGTCATCTCTCTCTCTCACAGATAAGCGTGGAAGGTCTGTCACTTTGGAAGAGAAGGTCTGAGAAGGAGCTCAGCTCCTCTAGTTTCCAGCCCGCCCCAATCTTGCAGCGTCATCTTGGCTGTATCTGGGAAGTGGGAGATGAGTACTCTATTTCTTATCTATAAAACACTTTCTCTCTGGCTCTAGACCCAATTTAGATTACAATTTCCTAGAATCATGTCTAGCAGTGCTGCATAGAAAAAAGCATAAACTGGTGTCAGAAAGACATAGGTTCGATTTTCAGCTCTGCCGCTCACCAGCCATATGACTTTGAACAAGTCATTAACTTCTCTGAGCCTCAGTTTCCTCACGGGGATTAAAGAACCCACCTCATAGGTTATAGGAAGAATTAAATGAGATGATGTGTGAAAGCTCCACTACACTGTGAGGGCTGAGACTCTGCCAATTTGTTCACCATTTGTAGTCCAATGCCTGGCACAGAGTATGCCCTCAATAAATATTTGTTATAATTGAATGAGTAGGTGCCTAACAAACCACAGCCAGGTGTCCCTTTGTCCAGGCTGATTGTGGCTGATGGTAATGATCCTCTGCCCTGACATAGTCCAAAAGCAATCACTACGTGAAATCCAGAGATAATGGCACACTAGTCTAATGTGCCTGGGGGTTGCATCATGTCCCACGGGCTAAAAGGGGCATGTGTGAAACAGAATTTTCAATGGTATTGATTGTGCCCATTGAGGAGTTTAATACAGTGCTTCTCAAACTTTAATGTGCCTCCGAATCACCTGGGTATCTTGTTAAAAAGCACATTCTGTCTGCCGTCTTTCTGTGCCATCGTCATGGTGCACGCGAATGTCCTGGCTGATGCTCTCAAGAGCATCAACAATGCCAAAAAGAGAGGCAAACACTAGGTTCTTATCAGCTGTGCTCCAAAGTCATCATCCAGTTTCTGACTGTGATGATGAAGCATGGTTACATTGGCGAATTTGAAATCATTGATAATCAGAGAGCTGGGAAAATTGTTGTGAACATCATGGGCAGGTTAAACAAGTGTGGAGTCATCAGCCCCAGATTTGATGCGCAACTCAAAGATCTGGAAAAATGGCAGAATAACCTGCTCTTGTCCCATCAGTGTGGTTTCATTATACTAACAACCTCAGCTGGTGTCAAGGACCACGAAGAAGCAAGACGAAAACACACAGAAGGGAAAATCCTGGGATTCTTTTTCTAGGGATGTAATACACATGTGCAAATAAAACGCCTCAATGGAAAAAAAAAAAAAAGCAGGTTCTGACTCAGTCATTCCAAATGAAGGCTGGACAAGGTTCCAGGTGATGCTGAGACTGTTGGCTTGTGGACCTCATTTTTGAGTAGCAAGAGTCTAATACAGGGGTCAACAAACTATTTCTGTAAGGGGCTGCATAGTAAATATTGTAGTTTTGTGAACTGTATCATCTCCGCTGCAACTACTCAACTCTGCCAGTGAACAAGAGCAGCCATAGACAACATGCAACCAAATGGGTGTGGTTGTGTTCCAATAAAGCTATTTACAAAAACCAGGGGCAGACTGGGTTTGGCCTGTAGGCTGTAGTTTGCCTACCCATGGTCTAATATAGTTATAATCAGTACATCATTCTTGCAATGAACATCAATGAGCTTGTCTCCTGAGATCCCAATAATTCCCTCATATGTGGGAACTGCTCCTTCCTGCAGATCCACCTCCCCCTACCCACAATCTATATGGTTCCAGGAGCAGAGCACCCACTGCCAGTTTCCTACAATGGGACTCTGACTCCAGACTCCAGCTGACTGTTCAGGGTGGTGGCACAACTCCAAGTGGCACCATTCACATTCTATTCTACAAAATGTTGTGTTCCAGGGGTGCCCTTTGCTTAGAAAACAAGGTAAACGGAGTCCTCCGGAGTTGTGCAACTTGGCCAAACTGGGTACCTGACTGAAGCAGACTACTCATAGTCCTTCCTCAAGATTCTGGAATTGAGTCTAGGAGATTCCTGCTTCAGTTTGTCTGTCTGTTCTCTTACATGGAGGATACATAAGTGCAGATGGGGCCTTTTTTTTTCACTCTATTGATTGGGATGTAGAGAAAGTAGTGAGAAAGAATGAGGCAGATATTCAGAGAAAAACAATGGTGAGAAGTTGCGAGAGGGCATCCTGGGTTCTCTATAGCACTGCGTGAATCCTTGGCTCCAGGCCATTCCTGAGGTCCAGCTGCCTCTTTGCCCTTGGGGTCTATGAAAGGACTTGGATCTTTATATAAATTCATTTTTCTTTTGCTTAACTCCAGTAGAATTCTGTTGCACGCAAACCACAATCCTAATAGCATTAGCAAACAGCAGAAGAGTACTTCAATAGAATTCAAATTTGGTAGGACTTTTTTTAAAAAGCAATGTACAGATTGTTGCAGAAGCACACATTTTTTCTTGAAACTGGATCTCCCTGACAAGAGTATGTGAAATTTCATAAATAGTAAAGTACATCTGGGGGCTGGCCCCGTGGCTTAGCCATTAAGTGCACGCGCTCCGCTACTGGCGGCCCGGGTTTGGATCCCAGGCATGCACCGACACACCACTTGTCCGGCCATGCTGAGGCGGCATCTGACTTCCAGCAACTAGAAGCATGTGCAACTATGACGTACAACTATCTACTGGGGCTTTGGGGAGAAAAAGGGAAAAACAAAAAAAAAAAGGAGGAGGATTTGCTAACATTGGCTAAAATGTTAGCTCAGGGCCAGTCTTCCTCAGCAAAAAGAGGAGGATTGGCATGGATGTTAGCTCAGGGCTGATCTTCCTCACACACACACACAAAATAATAAATAAATAAAGTACATCTGTATTCTGATGGTCTACATAGTAACAAGTCATTTTGTCAGTTGTACCGTAATTCCCAGCTTGCTTTGGTTAGGGTTCAGTGGCAGAGAAAAAAACTACTCCTTTGGTTAGAAAGGGATTTATTGCAAGGCACAAATGGCTTACAATATTGTCAGATGGGCTAAAGAAACAGACTCTAGGCTGATCTTCCAGGAACAACTCTCGAATCCAAACTGCAGAACTGGGCTGTGAAGGAGGCTGCTGCTCCTGCCAAGAACAGGAGACCACCTGCTGAATTAGGGAGTAGCCACTAGTAGCAACTAGCTCTGGGTTCGTACCACCTCTTCCACATCAGGAAGCTACCTGCCAAATTAGGGAGCCATTGAAACAGAGTCTGGTACCCAAGCTTGTTATGGGAAACAAAGTAACCAAAGATTCTAAGCTTGTTTTGCAGAACAGGAAGACTGCTAAGAGAACAGCTTGCTGACGACCCCCCCACCCCTGCCTGACTAAACATTGAGAAGCTAAAATTACTGGTTGTAAACCTGAGATGTCACAAACTAAAAATCACCACATGCAACACATAGAACCCCCGCTAATTCACACATGAAACCCATGCAGAAACATGAAAGACAGTCGTGTCTGCGCAGAGAACTCTTAAAACTTCAGCCCCCAACACCCTCCTACTCCCTACTTCCCTGACAAATATCCCCACACAAAAGCTGCTCAGGGAGACAGATTTGAGAGTTTTGTCTCCTGTCTCCTTGCTTGGCTGCCCTGCAATAAAGTCCTTTCTTTCTGCAAAAGACATTTGCCTCAGTTTTTTGCCTTTCTGTTGTGCATTGGGCAAATGAACCTGCTTGTGGTCAGTAACACCATCACCTTCACTTCCAGGTCCAGATCAAACTGCTTCCCTCTAAACCATCAGGACTCAGCAAGACAGATGCCTCAAACTCTCCCTCTCTTTCCCTTTTGAACTCAGTTCATTTTCAGGTCCCAGGTGAATGCATTTGATTGAAGAAACCTAAGTCTCACTCAGACTCTAGCAGCAAAGGAGTCTGGAAAATATAGTTTTAAACTTTTCAATCTCTGCATTCTAAGAAGATGCACTATAATGAGACTGGAACAGATGTTGAGTGAGCCAGTCCACAGAACCAGCCACACCTCGATTGACCACACAGTTGTAAAACAAAAATCATATTTTTGTAAAGAAAATGTAAACATGAGCAAAGAAACAATAACACAGTAGTTCACGGCACTTGTCAGATTGATGCTACATAATTCAGGCTTTCCCTATTTTTGCCAGATAGTGTTGGTTATGTATTCATTCCTACTGAGGCAACTGGAACAGCTTTTAACATCTGAATGATTATGATGAGTAAAGAGATTTACTCATTCGTTTACTCAGAAAATACTTTTTGAATGCCTGCGTGTGCCAAGCACTGCTTCTGTGTTGCAGCTACAACAGGGAACAGCAGATGTTACATCCTGCCAGGTCGAGACTCCCTATGAAAATTCCCTCTGTGCTCTGTGAGGCTGAAAGGATTCAAGGAATTCTGCTGACATGGGCAAAGACAAAGCAGTTGCAGTGGTTGATGACTCTTAAATATTTGGCCTTTTAAATCCAAAAGGTGCAAACATTTGGTCAAAGCATGCAATGACATGTAAGTCAACTTTATTGACTTAAAAACTGGGTAAAAATCTACATTTAAGATTTATTTTTTTAAAAGATGAAATCTTGGTGATGTCAGCATCATGGTGGACTGAGCTTTCCCATAAACTCTTCCCCCCATAAGATACAACAAAAGGAACAGTCACAGACCAACAATCGGGCTCTCTCAGCCAGTGGGAAACTCCCACACAGAGGACTCAGAACTGCTACGGTGTACCATCAACATCTGAGCACCCCAGGAGAGCAGATAACGAGGGGTGAATGAGAAACCCCCCACGCCAGAGACCCAGCAGGCAAAAGAGAGAGCACCCCACCCCCCACAAGCTGGACCCTGCATCTCAGCCAACCAGACCAGACCAAGCGACCAGTGGATTGCAGCGAACAGCCGGGGCAGAGCACAGAGGGGTCAGATTAGAGAGCCCTTTGCCCCCACACAGTGGTGGCGGGTGGAAATTGCAACCAGATATTTCCAGGATGAGGAAAAACAAAGCCAATACAGGAACCACAATGCAAAGGTACATGAAATCACCAGACCAGAAGGAAAATGACAAGCACCCCGAAACCAACCCTGAGGATACAGAAATCCATAACCTAAATGACAGAGATTTCAAAATAGCTATCATAAAAAAACTCAACGAAATACGAAACAACACAGACAAACAATTCAATGAGATTAGGAGTTTCTTCACAAAAGAGATTGAAATCATAAAGAAAAACCAATCAGTGCTGATGGAGATGAAGAACACAAGGGAGGAGGTAAAAGAGAATCTGGAATCTTTAAAGAACAGAGCTGACAATATGGAGGAAAGAATTAGCATTATAGAGGATAGGAATACAGATA